TTTCATCCTTGTCTTTAGTTGCAGAGTCATGAAGCTTAGCATGTTTGCTATTACTTAGCATGTACTTCTTCAGGTTTGTACTATTAAGAATTTCCTCAGCTTTTTGAATATGTAGCCTTGTGTCTTTTGAGAAATATGGAAAGTTTTTGACCATTATCTCTTGAAACTGTCTTTTGGCTTCAACTGTCTTCTCTTCTGGCAATCGAATGATTTTCCTTCCTTGGGCATACCCCTTTCTGTATTCTGTGGGGCTGTGTTTTTGTTTTGCTTTTAGTCTCTCTCCTATTGTTCAGAGTGAGTGAATTCTAGGATTTACTCAAGTTTACTTATTCTCTCTTCCTTCATCTCCACCTACTATTAAGTAGATTCCATAAGTTTTTAGTCAAATTTGTCACTATATTTTTGGGTCCTATAATTTCTATTTGGCTTTGTTTATCACTTTTATTGCTGAAATGTTCTACTTTCTTTTTTCTAAGAAAAAAATAATTGTTAAAGCACTCTTTGGGATGACTACCTTAAAATCCTTGTCTGAGAATATTAACCTTAATCTCAGTGTTAGCATCAATTGATTGTCTTTTCATTTGACAGTTGTTTTATTGTTGTGATACTCCATGTGATTTTCAGTTATCTATTAGACATTCTAACTGGTATGTCTATTTAAATCATCTCTTGTAGCAAACAGTCATTCTGTTAGTTCTGCACGTAGTTTTTTGTCTATCTCGTGGGGTGTAATACTAATTGCAGTTTAGTTTTTAAGAAGCTTTATGGTATCATGCGCTCTGCTCGGTGTATATGACACTCCTGGAGATTACACTGATCCCTATTGCTGCTGCCTAAGGATGCAGAAATATTTTCCCAAAGTCAGCCTGTAGGTGTCTCAGTGGGGCAAGGGTGTTTCCAGGCATGGAAGATTTTTCTGTCTGGGAACTCCTTGTGACAAGATCCCCCTGCAGGTAAACCCCAGCTTCCCAGAGTCTCTGCACAGAGAAAGGGAGTTTCAGGCTCACTGGTACCAAGAGACTTTCAAAGATGGAGTCCTTCCTGCTAGTTCCATTCAACTCCCCCAGCACACACACCAATAAAGGAGCCACAAGTCCATACGAGCTTCACTGTCTGCTTGTGGGGGATGTACAGTCCTCCTACACCAGGCCATGATGGCTTTTATGTTTTGAATTTTTTTTAATTACTGAAGGAGGTCTTTTAGAGTTTTTGACACAAGCTTTAATCAACTAAAATGAGCATATTTTAAAAAGAAAACAAAAATAAATTGCTTCAGGTGTTCCTAAAAGCTTTTTAACATATAAAGTCAACTCTTCTGAAGCAATTTTCAGTTTTTACCTAAGAATTATAGACATTTATAGTTTTCTATAGAATATCTTCTTTCTGTCTCTAATGGTTTCTATTTAGATGTCTCTGCCCCCACCCCCCCCAACCCCGTCCTCAAAAGCCTCATGTGTTCATAGATGGGGCTTTTCAGGAGGTGATTGGATCTAGGGTGTGTGAATAGGGATTAAAGGTGTGTGATAAATAAATGTCTATTGACTGATTTAGCATAGTTCTGGGTGTGGAAAATGGGAAGGTCTAACCTGGGTATGGGTGGCACTATCCAATAGGCTTTTAGCCCAGATATAATAGAAAAGGGGGACTCCCTGCTTGCTGCCTCCTGCCTTCCCTGCCGTGGACTGTTTCTCTCCTGGTATGCTACACCACTATGGAGCCCGCAAACTATGGATTGAAACCTCTACGAACTGTACACTAAAATAAATCTTTCTTTCTTTAACTTGTAGGTGTTGGGTATTTTGTCTCACCAATGAGGAAGTAAATAAGACATGACAATACACTTTTTTCTTTCTTTCTTTATAGTTCAGTCTGGCCTTAACCTCACTTTGTAGCCCAGGCTAGCCTCAAACTTGCATCTATCCTCCTGCTTCAGCCGCCCAAGTGCTGGTATGCCCCAGAACATTGATGGTGTACCTTTTAGAGCTTTCAGTGATAACAAACAGCTGGCTTCAGCACAAGTACCATAGGTTCATCACCACTGCCGTAGACTCTTGGTGATGAAGAAGTGCTTAATGAAGTTGACCACTGTTAGCCCTGTATTTTCTTCTGATATCTATTCTACAAGTTTTGATATACATTTGGAACAAGTTATGATGACCATATCATAACTACCACTTCCTAAAAGTCACCATAAGATGCCTCTTGATTCCTAAGATGTTAAAATATGAAAAAGTGCTTAGAATTATATATATTATTGTATTAGCTTGTATTTTCTGCAGTTTAATCTTTCTTTGATATTTTAAAAAGATCTATCCTGATCAAAATATCATTAGCAGACCTTAGAAATCTAGAGAAAACATTTCTAAAATTCATTTGGAACCAGAAGAGACCTAGACTAGCAAAGGCAATCCTGAACAACAAAGGCAAGGGAGGAGACATCAAAATCCCCGGCTTGAAATTATACTACAAAGCTACTGTAACAAAATCAGCATGGTACTGGCAAAAAAACAGATTTGAGGATCAATGGAACAGATTAGAAGATGCAGACACAACTACAAACACACTCAACCACCTTATCTTTGACAAAGGGGCCAAACATGTTCACTGGAAGAAAGATAGCCCCTTTAACAAATGGTGCTGGAAAAACTGGCTTTCCACATGCTGAAAATTAAAACTAGACCCATGTCTATCACCATTCACTAAACTAAAGTCAAAATGGATGAAAGATCTAAATATTAAAACAGCAACACTAAATCTACTGGGAGAGAAAGTAGACAGAAATCTTAAAGACATTGGTGTAGGCAAAGAGTTCATGAACATAAACCAAACTGCATAGGAAATACTTCAAAGAATCAACAACTGGGATCTCATCTTATTGAAGTTTTTGTACATCAAAAGAAATCACCAGCAGAGTGAAAAGAAAACTCATGAATTGGAAAAAATTTTAGTCAACTGTCCCTCTGACAAAGGACTTCTATCTAGAACATATGAAAAATTTAAAGTCAGGCCCCCAAATTCAAAGACCCAATACAAAAATGGGCATCTGAGATGAATATATACTTCTTAGATGAAGAACTACAAATAGCAAACAAATATATGAAAAAACGTTCAACATCATTAGTCATTTGAGAAATGCAAATTAAAACAACACTGAGACTCCATCTCATCCCAGAGAGAATGGCTATCATGAAGAAATCTACCAATAACAAATGCTGGTGGGGCTGTGGGGAAAAAGGAACTCTTCTCCACCGTTGGTGGGAATATAGACTGTTGCAACCACTGTGGAAATCAGTGTGGAGATTCCTCAAAAAAGTACAATTAGAGGTCCCACTCAACTCAGCTATTCCCCTTTGGGGTATTTTCCCACAAGAAATGAAAACAGCATACCACAGCAGTATATGTGCATCCATGTTTATAGCAGCACAATTTGTAACAGCTAGATCTTGGAAAAAACCCAAATGTCCATCATCTGAGGAATAGACAAAAAAGTTGTGGTATTTTTATACAATGGAGTATATTATCCAGGTATAAAGAAAGATAAATTTGAGAGTTTTATAGGTAAATGCATGCAACTAGAGACCATATTCATAAGTGAAATAAATCAGACTCACATGTGTAAACATTGTATTGTCTCCCTAGTGTGAGAAGTTGAAAGAGTAAATAAGATCCAAAAGGTACAATAGATGCAGTGGGAAAGAAAATGTTCAAAAGGGAAGAATAACTCGGATTGGGGGAAAGGGAAAAGAAAGAAAGAGAAATATATATATATATATATATATATATATATATATATATGCAGAAGATAGCTAATATAGGTGTACTACTAATTTCTATCAGTTCAGTAAAAGGGAAAATTACAGCTTATATTGTTTGATCGATTTTGCATGGCTGTATCTGGTAATCTGAGTGACTACTTTGAAGATAATCATATGCAACATAATAACCATTGTTAATTTCCTATCATCTTGTTTTTCTGTATCATTTTTACAGTTCTTTTCTCTCTTTAAAATAAAAAATGGTATATCAAATATAAAACAGCCTAGAGAAATCCATGTCTCTGGAAAAGAGTTCTTTAGTTTAAGACAGAACGAAGTGTGAAGAATAATTGCTCTTGATGTGTCCTGCTCCATTCCCACCTTTCACGTTTCATTGCTTTCTCTTTTCCTTCTCCCTGGCTTCTTTCCTTCCCACTCTCTGTAAGTGACTCGGGTGCTCTTCAGTCTCCTCCTCTACATCCTCAGTGATATCTCACTGCGTCTGGTGTCATATGCACACGCCTGAGCTGTGTGTGAATGATTGTGAACAAATGTACGGCAGAGGTGTGCGTGGTGTAGATGTGGGAATGTGGTAGACAGAATAATAGCCTCCCAAAGATGTCCACACCATAGCCTTTGAAACTGGTAAACGTAGAAACTTACAGGGGAAAAGGGCTTTCGTAGATGTGATTAAAGATCTTTATAGGGGGAGATTACTGTGTATTATCTGGGTGAGCTCCATGTAATCAAAAGAATCCTTAAATGGGAACGAGGAAGGCAACAGAGTCAGTCAGAGTTAGAGAAGGGATGTGCTGATAGAAACACTGAGAGAGAGAGAGAGAGTCTTAAATTTTAAAATCCTGTAAGAACTTAGGCGGCCTCTGAAAGCTAGAAAAGATATGGAAACAGATTGTCCCTCAGATCTTCGAGAAGGAAGGCAGTCCAACTAACACCTTGATTTTGGGACTGCTGACCGCCACAACTGCAAGGCAACAAATGATACTTTTTTACACTACTAAGTCTGTGGCAATTTGTTATAGAGACAGTAGGAATCACACCGGGTGTGTGTGGGGTGACTGCATCTGTCTGTGTAGAAGTGGTGAAGAGATTATGTTCTTGTGCATGTGCAAAACGACGCTACGGCCTCTACCAGGATGAGAAAGGCAAAAATGAGATTTTAAATTCTAACTTCTACTTCAGGTACAAATAACTCACAGTGTTCATTCACAACAAAATCACATCATGGTCATTTGAAAAGTTCATTTATTATATACCAATATACACTTTCTGTAATAAAAAATCCTCCCAATACATTGAACCATCTTATAAATGAAATAAGAAAATAAAAATTTCTTCTGTTTACAAATGCGGTTAAATTAACCAGCACAGGATGCCGTGTGTACGTCTGCCCTGCAGTATATATGGCCTCTCACCCCAAACGTAGCCCCGAGGGGAACTGGTGCTTTAGTATTTGACACTCCAGTATTGCTCTTGAATATTTATATAATTATACATGGCGATATTTTCAAATTAATCTTTTAAAATGTAAAATATCCAAAATATATACAGGTTTTATAGTTTTCTAATATTTTTGGATTAATCTTTAATATATACATTTAAATAACTTCAGATTCAACATTTTTTAACATGCAGAAGACACTTTTTTCCATTTTCTAGTTTGAAAGCACTCTTTAGACAAACAAAAAGGGGAATACATCTTAAAGATGCTATTCAGCACAATGTTTCCAAATGATAGGAACTTAAGTTATGATAGTTTCTAGTAATGCTCAATTTCCATAACAAAGTGCACCATTTTACAGTTATGCATCTCTAGAAAATGATACATAAAACAAATATATACTTTCCTAGCCGCACTTCTGAAAAACTATAGAAATATGATTCAGTCTATTGAAATATATGATACTTATATTTCATACTTAGCTTTTCTAAAATATAAAATATATAACAAATGTTCCTGCTAGTGATTTGAAAATACAGTAATGCCTCCAGAAATTCTAGGCAGTGAAAAGTAACATTTTTTTTTTTTTTTTTGGTTTTTCTCTTGTACTGGGAACTGAACTCACAACCTTGCGCTTGCCAGGCAGGCGCTTTGCCGCTGAGCTAAATCCCCAGCCCCGAAAAGCAACTTTTAATCCCACTCCATGTGAGTATGTTATGGAGGTGGGTAAGAATGATAGTTTGCATCTCTTTGTAGTGTCAGCACTTATATTTCTATGGACAACTACTCAACAGTGTATTAAATGACAAAAGAATGTTAGCAAATACCTGTGCAAGCTAAAATGAATTCAATCTTATTTTAGACCTACTAAACTGAAAGAGCAACCTTAGCTCTGTTAATTATTTGCAAATAGAGAATTCATTTCTTATACATGATTCTATTATTGTAAACATTGAGGAAGAGCATTACTGAACTATATAACTTCGGTTTTAAATTTAAAATAACCCCAATGGACAGATACATACAAATGGATTTTTCAACCCACCAGCTTAATTCCCTGACCTTACCCTCAGTAAGTGTTTTGGCTGTGCGAAACAAAGCCACACATGTAAAAAATAAAAATCAAATGTACATTCTGATGACTACAGAATAAGATTATATACATGAACATACAGCAAATCACAGTTTCCTGCACTGAAATGTTTATCAAATAAACACACATCGAACAATACTGGGTAGCGTGTCTCCACGTGAACTGTGGTCTTCTAAAAATTCTGAATGAAAATGGAAGACGAGAGGGAGAGCATTGCTCAAGGACGAACGAATGACAATGGGCTGGGAATAGCATTACAAAGCAGAAGCTTCCACAGAGGTAGCTTAGCTATATGCAGTATTATTTTTGTTGTTGCTCTATAAATAAAGACCCCTCTCTGTATTTAGTTATGTTTCGTCATTTAGCAAAAAAAAAAAAAAAAAAAAAAAAAATCCATTGAGTGAAGCAGTTACTAATTCAATGTCACAAATAGTCCGGGCAAAATATTCCTTTAGTGTTGACGTAAGTGCTGTGGACTTGTGTGTGATCATTTGTATTTCTCCCAGGGATAGGTCACAGGACATGCTTTTGGCTTCCGTTGGCCAACAGACCCATGGAGTTTAGTGCAAGATGGGCGAAGGCATTAAGTTACCTTAATGCCTGTTTGCCGCCAGTTTGATATTCTGAGAACACAACTTATTATTCTTAGTTTGATATTCTGAGAACACAACTATTTGTGACTTTATAGGGAATGCATGTTGGGGAGCGGGAAGGGAGAAAGAATATTATCCGATGACTATTACATGCAGCCACCCTTATTCTGCTTGTGTAACAGCAAAGACACACCTTGATCACCTCACGCTGTTGCAGGAAAACCTGGGTAGAAATGTGCAACACGGATTTACAGCATATCAACAGCCATTCTTGACAAAAGCCAGGACTTTCTCTTGCAGGTGTGTGATGATATTACTAGCAAACATCTTTGGAATCTCCCTGTTGTCATTTCCTGTGAACAATATTCCAATCAAGATACCTCAACTGTCTTTTGGAGCATAACTTGCAACCATTTCCAGTAGAAAAAGAAAATATGTTCTCTCAGGTTAATGATGCTTGGAATTTGGAGGGTTGTAAACCCAGTCCATTATAATGAGTGCCATACTTCCGATCATGAAGCTAATTCCAGTCACAAGGAACATTATAGCCTGTAAATGAGAGAGAGCTTGTTAGGGAAGACAGCAACCACACTTGCTACGGTTTGCTTTTGTAAGATGGTTACGCAAGGTGACACCATGGTTTGTGTTTTTATTAAAGTATTATTCATAACTCAAATATCTAACAAATCAATTGATTCATTGCCTACTTGAGAGAAGGGAAATACAGTGCAGAGACAGAACGTAGAGTTCCAGTGACACAGTAATGACTAGTTGATTTGATACATCAAAATAATGCCATACCTGGTGATCATTAAAAATTGAGTGACAGAAACACATTTGATGACCTATGGAATCCTAACAATTTTTTTAGGGGAAAAAGAGCAGATCAAAAAAGAGTAGTATGTATGATGTGATTCCGATTTTATAAAGCAAACAAATGAAAACAAAAGCCTAATATGTGTTGCATATTTCTAAAAGATAAAAAGTAGATAGATAGATAGATCTGTTTATCTATATAGTCTGCAGAAAATGCATACATCACAGATAGAAAAACTTGTATAAATATTTTAATTCTAAATTTCTTGAGATGTCATGAGATTTATGCAAGGTGCCTTCGACCTGTACAATTACAAGAGGTGCTCAAAGTGGTGTCCATCAGCTTCCAGACGTTCATTACTATGGCAAACTGCTGAAGTGTGTATGCATTTTTAGTACTCTGTCTAGTATATATTTTTGTATGCATGAATACTTATAACACAAAACATTTTAGAATTTTTCTGACTAGAAGAGGGATTAAATATTCCACACAGATCAACTTTCTAATTCTCTATATAAGAAAGCAGCAGCTAAAATTTTCCATGAGCAAGGGTGTAGGACAGTGATGGTGAAACTTTTAAGAGATGATTGCCCAAACTCTAACCCAAACCTGCTTATTTATTGCAAAGTGTCAACACTGCAATGAAACCCGAATACTGAGGTTTTAGTTTAGAAAAAACAGTTTATATGTTAACATCTTTTGTCTTAAGAGAAAAACCAGCAATACAAGTGACATAGGTGTGCCACCACTGGTCAAGGAGATGATTTTGTTCATTTTATACCTGGTCAAACTAAAAATGGGTCACAAACAGTGTAAATAATCTGCCCAAGTAACACTGCTGTGGAAGTCAAGGCAAGATGGATGACAGGAAGTGAAACTTCCAGGGCAAGGTGACAGGAGGAGCTTTTGATACTAAACTCTCCTGAAGTCCCCGAACAACCTCAAGAGATGATTAAGGCAAAAACTCGGAGTAGCTCAGTAAGAAGCCATTTTCTCAACCCTTAATATAAGATCTTACATATGCACACCTGTGCTTACAACTGCACAGTTTGTAATAGTCAAATCTTGGAAAAAACCCAAGTGTCCATCAACTGGTGAATGGATACAGAAGATGTGGGTTTTCTCATACAATGGAGTACTACTCTGTCACAAAGAAGGATACACAAGACATTTCTGGGAAAGCGGATGCACCTTGAGTCCACACTCTTACGTGAAGTAAATCAGACACACGTGTAAATACTGCAGTCTCTCTGGTGTGAGAAACCAAAAGTGTAAATAAAGACTAAAATATAGAATAGGTATTGTAAAACAGGAAGAAAATGTTCAAAGGGAGAGGGGAGGAGGAAAAGAAAAAAAAGTAATAAAAAACGAGAAAAGAAGGAAAACATGGAAACAAAGCTTTGTGGACGGAGTGGGAGGAGGGGCTGGAGGGAGGGAAGGGGGATGGGGAAAAATCAAGCTATGTCATGTACAGGTACAAGTTCTCTATGATAAATGTGATCATTCTGTGTATCTAAAATGGAAATAAAATCTAATTTTTAAAAAGTTAATATAAGATCTGAAATTGTCACTGACCATTGTTTTTTGAAGAAACACATATCTACAATATGTTTCAGTAGTCCTCTATGGAAAAGAAATACGTACTTCCTGGTTCAGTAAGAATGATTTTTTTATATCTAAAGAGGCTGACTAGACAACAAGTATCCCCCCGCCTTCTTTATCTTAATCCAAACCAGAAGACGGCAGGCTACAAAGAGGGAAAATGAAAGCAGCCCTGACCTTGCAGCGGACATAACCAAAACATCGCTTTATCCACCAACCCTGGAGAGGACCTAATTCCTTCTACAGTTCCACACGGGAAGGCGCCACTAGCATCTAACATGTAAGAAGACTCAACACAAGATAAACGCTATTGGAAGAGCAGAAACCCTAGAATTACCTGAGTGCCACAAACCCACCTCCTCCCCGCCCTCCAGGGGACAGTCCCAACCCACGCGTGGTGTTTGATTCTTCACTGATTCATTTTTCTGAACCATGAGTGTTTCCTGGCTTATGCTCAGTTGAAAAGCAAGTTGGAAGGGGGAAACTGCAAGTCGTACTTACCCCGATCTTTTGGGGTGACCTGAAAGGTTCTTTCTTGACAAGTCTAAGGTAAAACGCTGCCGGCAGGATGAAAATGAGCATGGTGGCTGAAGAAGCTCCTAGGGAGAGAAACGGGTGCATGAATTTCCTGTGCAGCAGGTCGCCCCTGAAAAGCAGACACCTGCGAGCACACACTTCGGAGAAACCAAATAAAAAGCTACCCTAGACTTCCTAGCCCTGAGAGTTCATACTTAAACAACAGCAGCTTGTCTGGGCTGCCTAGTCACGCAGGTGTGTTTATTTAAAAAGTCCTTCACATTACAGCTGCATAAGGATAAGATGTAGTGAGCAATAAAAGGCTGAAACATAACACCAATCTGCAGAGGACTGGGAACATAGTAAGTACATCCTGAGGAGGCTGAACTCATCACATACCTTTCTTCTCCACCTCTTACTTTTCAAGTTACCTACACGCAATTTCTATAAAGTATTGTTTTTAAAATTTGAGTGAATAATCAGAATGAGAAATTAGATATATTAATAATCCAAGTAATTAAGGGAACTGACATGATTTAAAAATTAACCTCCCGTCGTTCTGACATCTTTTAATGTTCAGCTGATACCCAAGAGCCCTGTCTGGAGGGTAAAACGTGTCTTCCTGACTCTTCCCTGATGGCCGGTTTAGGAGCCAAGTCCAGCCCTCACTTTGACCCCAGTCAAGGTGTATGTCTTACTTTCCTCGTCTGTCAGAAAGGCAACTGGACTAAAGGACCTGCAAGTCAGATCCCAGTGCCTCCCGGGCAGAAGGAAAAGTGACGGGCACAGCCCCAGAGCCCAGCGGGGCTAATGGGAATCCCATGAGCCCGTAATGGACTTGGGGTCCTGAGTGCCAGCACCGCCTCCCTGACCACCATTTAAGAAGCACTAAGTAACTTACCGATGAATCCAAAGATGTACTTGATAGTTGGCACGAGGATAACCAGAACATTATTAAGTGTAATAATGACGGTTGCAATCACGAAGTGTCTAATCCAGCTGAAAGGTCTTTCGGGAAATAACAGCGTGATCACTGATGTGCGAATCTACGACAAGAGCATTCAGTGGCAAGATCAATCATTGTTTTTTTGACTTTTCCTATTATTTTATACTTTCTAATTTTTCTTTTTTTTGTTTGTTTGCTTTTTTGTTTTTTTTTTTCCGGTACAGGGATTCAAACTCATGACCTTGTGCTTGCCAGGCAGGTGCTGTGCCGCTGAGCTAAATCCCCAACCCCTTACTTTCTCACTTTTCTAAAGCATTTTTTCCTTTTCCCTAGAAAAGACTGTGAATTTTTCCACAATATTTTTTATTGTGTTAAAATATACAGAATGTAGAATTTATAACCTTAACCATTTTTTAAAGTATATGGTTCATGGTATTAAGTACATTTATATTGTTGTACAATCTCCATGCTGAATTTTGATGTCTAAGAGGGTCAGTCTTCCTTGGTAGTATATTGTTTGTTCATTTTCTCATCGTTTGCAATTTTGGATTCAGAATAAGCTCAGTCAAAACGAGATAAAATAACAGATAAGATATACAACTCAGAGACTGTAAAATCCTTGTTGATGACAGCTAAGTTGTCTCATCAGATTGGCTTACACATTAAAGGTGAGCACAGAACTGATTTTCACTAGACTGTCAAAGGAATTTCTGTAAACCTGAATTTTTCTTTAGTTTCTATTACATTTAACATTTTTCTACTTGATATTTTTTTAGAATGGTACTTTTTCTGTTTACTCCTTTTTCTTTCTCTCCTTTTACCTCCTCATCAATAGATTGTAAATCCATAGAAGGCAAGGAATAAGATTTAATGTTTCTCAGGGTTTCTATTTATTGTCGCATGTCACGGGCAATTAGTAAGTGTTAAATTAAATTGACAGCAAGAATCTTTTCCTTCCCGTCGGAGTCCTTGACAGATTCTGGCCTTATTTCAGCAGCTGGAATAAGCAGGCGAAGGGTCAAGAGAGACTCATCTGTAGCAGCTGCTCAAGTTACTGCAGTGTAAGTGGATAGAGATCCCTGTGGGCAGAAGGAGGGCCTACATTTATGTTTGTACAGCTTACCAAAGTTGAAGACGCACTTATCTTTGGAATGCGTCAAAGGACACTTTTTTTACTTAGCAGAATTATTCTATTGGATTTTCAATAAGTCAGCACTTCAGTTGAGCTGGGACTTCACCTTTTTAGAAATGCTGGGATTGATCATCATTTACTTAGTTCTGAAGCCTCAGTGGCATAGAGACGGGGACTCACTCAGAAGGAGATCGTCAAACACATTTTGAAACATGTATGAACAACACAAAGTGCAAGCTAAATTGCGTGCAGCTTCTCATGTGACATTCTTTTCATACCACCAAAATTAAAGCCATCTGTGCAGGCTGAAGAGGGACTTTCATTTCTGAAATAGCAAACCAGAGAGTCCCTGAACATGATTTAAGAATGACTTTTAAAGGATTTAAAAAACTGGATTAGTGAAAATTAGGAGACTCATTTGGAAAAGCACACAGAAGAAAGCAGATAGCTTGATGTCGTTTTCTCCTGCAGCCCCTACATTCTGAGCTAGGATTAGTGTTTATTCAATACCGTTCTGCGTGATCTAATCAGTAGGCTTAAAACAAGCTATGGTAAATATATAGTGCTTAACGACAGTCAGCGTAAACTTAGAGCAGAAATAAGTCAAGTGCAGGTTCATTTTTCAGTCGGATGTCACATGTATATGCTTTTTCAGTCTTTCGTTGAAATGGTACATTCAATTTGATGTTAATTTTTAAGCTGTTACGGGCACGTACAGGTCTTCTGTGTGTAAATGCAGTTTCCTGTGGTCTTCTGGCTTCCAGAAAGCCCAGGCTTTGCGTAGTCATGTGAGAGGACAGAGTAGCAGAACGGTTGGTGTGTATGGAGCATATGAATGCTTTGTCCTCATAGTGACGAAGGGATAAGAAAATCTCAGAAAGGGCAAAAAACGAGTATGAAGCTACCAGTGCCTTCCTGAGTAGGGGACCAGAGCAAAGAGGGAGATAACCTGGTGGCGGCTGTGGAAGAGAATAAGAAAGAAACGGCTGGGCATGCCTCGTGAAATGCAGCCTCGAAGACTGCGCCTGGGATCGAAAGGTCCTCAGCAGTTCCCTGATCCGCGTCCGGACAGAAGGAGGCAGGCTCCCCACCACAGACCCGGCCAGCTCTTCCACGTATCCATGAGCCCATTCCACTACTGACATCAGCTGGTAAGAATGAATGTGGAAATGTGGGTCACATGCTGCGGGGAGGGGAAGTCCCCAGTGACAGCTGGGACCTGTGACCCAGAAAGCTTTTACGCAGCTCCAGAGAAAAGAGCTGCTTGCAGAGAGCACGGCCTGAACACGAGCTGTTAGGAGGTGCCGCGGTCTGACGTCAGGACAAGTGAGGGGCAGAAAGGTGTAGAGGGCGCTGAGTGCCTTGACTCTGAACTATAAACAAACAAATTATTCGGCCCCTTAGAAGTGGCTCATACCTTCACTTTTGGGGACTGCTGCAGGGATAGGGTGTTTAAAATGCCACTCTAGCGCCTTTCATGCGACATCAGGCAAGTCTCTATGCCATATCCATGTAAGCTTCGGTCCCAGTACTTCAGAGATACAAGTGGGATGCCAGGGAAAGACCTAGCCCTAACTCCCTTCTTTTATGCATTGGTTCCACAAACATTACACAGTTATTTTGTGTCTTGTACTAAAAAGAAAAAAGAAAAAACCCTAATCTAACTGGAGAGAAGAAAGAATAAGTAGAGTAAAACAAAAACCAAACTCTTATTTTATCTTCTTGGGCTTTTAGAAAGAGCGCCCAGTTATTATTTGCTAAAAGAAAGGAAACACAAAATAAGTGCTAAAACTGATAGAGCTGAATCCAGACTAAGTTTATCAGTTTTATTATTTCTATGTGGGGATTTCAGGGCAAGTAAACAGACCTCTTAGCTGTCAGATGTTTCTTAATATAAAGCAGTCTATCAGGAGAGCCGTGCTGTGCTCAGTGTTTGACGCACTGAAAGTCTTGGCTCTAAGTTGTAAGAAACAAATCTACAACAATACTGCGAACATCGCCTGTCCCTTTGGCCAAAAAGTGTCTGAATTGAGCTTCTAGCATCTGGCTGGGACACAGGTCGGATCCCCTTGTCTGGTACCATCACATCCACGCATGTCTCCATCAATGCATGGAGGCTGGATTCTCTTAGCCTGGATCCTCACCCACACTGAACTCATTTCAGCAAGAAAAATAACCTGTGTGTTTGCTAGAAATAAGTTGTTTATGCATTTTAAGAAAAGGCAAATCTGCCAAAGACCACCCTTCTTAGCAAACGTTACTGAGCTCATCCTCTGTGCCCGTCACTGCACACTCTCATCGCCAGTGACCTGCGAGCCCATGGGAGGGTCCTTTGGTGCAGATCATCTCATGGCACCATCATGAAGGCGCAAGCAGGCAGGGCTGTGTGCGGAATGTTTCATGAATGCCCACAGTGAAGGGGAGCTGTTAGTTATCTTCCTGATTTTTGGTCTACTGATCTAATGCTTACAAATGATTGCTACTTCTGATGACCAGATTCATTCCAGTACTTTCTTTCTCTTTTCTAGAGGGAGGTTGGGATTTTTGATGTTGAGGTGAAGTATTCATTGATAAATAAAAGACTGGCTTTCATTTCCTGTTCCAGCAATGGCAGCTATCCATTTCATAATGTATCATGCACTGAATTAGCCCAGCGGTTGCCTTCGAGCTGTCAGACCATGGCCATGTCCACTGATCTCTTGAGACCATGGCTTAGAAACACTATATTTAGGATTTAGGAGTAAAGCAACACAAAAGCACATCCTTCACAAGATGCTCTCATTCTGTAATGAAGTAGTACTTCAGATGTGCCAGAACTTAGCCAGGGATACCTTGACCCACACTGAGAAGGAATCGGGATATTCTTTTCTCAGTGAAATAGCTTGCTTGGAAATTTTATCCAGGGGTACACTGTCTGGGTTACAGCTGTCTTCTGCTTTGTAGCCAGGCTGGAGCTGATTTTAGACTAAAGCCGCACATATGTCATTTGAAACACTTTCAGATACATTAGAAAGAAGATATTATTTAAGAGTAAATTATTAGCCACCATAATAACAAGGATCTGATGTCATGCACTCATGAGAAAGGAATGTACTAAAATACATGTCCGCACACAAGTTGCATTTAAGGCAACCACAATACTCCGGACCCTGCCTGGAACATTCTCCACGGGGCAGTGCTGGTTACTGTGTCGCTTATTTTTTTTGCTCCTAAAATCAATGAGTAAATTCCATAGTTATGAGAAGAGTTGGCAGCTGGGTGAGGACCTGTGTGTATCCACAGGAAGTGGTTTAATCTCCGCAGACAGCCCCACTCCGTGGTGATCCCAGAGCAAAGCGACAGGGGTGGCAAACACCAGGGTGGGGACCCCGGTCTTCCGGAAGGCTCAAGCGTCACTTTGGGTTGGGGGGGGCAGAAGACATAGGAGATGAATAGTGTAACTATTTTTTGAGAAATTTTTTTCTAGTATGTAACTTACTTAACGTGCATCGCTTTCTCAGTAGTCTTCTAAACCAGATAAAATAAGGTGAGTTGGGCTGTCACTGCAGTACAGCAAACGGGAAAAAACTGAACTATCTGCCAAATTGCGGTGAAGATGCGATGTGACCTGAGAATTACAGTGGTTTCGGCTTTCAAGTTTCAGAAGTTATCTGAACTCCTACTCGCTATTCCAATCCACAGGCTTTCTGAGTGGGGTGCTTTCTGAATTTGAATTTAAGAATAAGCAGCACGATTCTCCCCCTGCATTTAAAAATGCCACCTACAAATATTTACTCTATCTACTTATTAGATGGTCAGTTTTAGGGGCTCCAAATGCCATGTGAGCAAAATGATGTCCTCGGGTGTCGTAATTGTCAGCTTTCCTTATAATCAAAACCACATCAAGGCAGACATGGCACTGATCACGTGTCCATCACCAGAGATGAATGTACTTACTGGGAACAGGACAATGGGCACAGTTAATGTCACCGCCACCAGGACTGCCAGGCGGACCATGAGGAGAGGGGTGTCAAATGTGTACACTCTGCTGTAAGCATGCAGGAGTTCATCTTCAACTTCTCCTACAAGGGGGAAGCAGAGAGTGAGTCCATCCACCTGGCGATGCTGCTTCGGCACTGGTTACCCATAGCATTTTATGGAGGACACGCGGCCGGCCAGTGACTCCTTGAGAGGCCAGGCACTTTTGTTCTTGTTCCTGAACTACCAGCTGTGAGGACTTTGTCCAAAGGAACAAATGCACAAAGTTGCAGGGGCTATCAGAAAGCTGCAAACACACTTCTTGGGGTCGCTTGGATCACAGTAAATCACTCTCTTGATGCAATTCTGCAAACACATTATGGAAACTCCAGGACTAATTATCTCTAATATTTTTTAACATTGACATTTATGATTCCATCACAACATTGAAACACATGCTCGTGGGCTTTTTCAAGGTTTGTTTCTCTTATGGAACTCTTTAGAGTAAATAACAGGCAAGGATGAGCAGTATGATTTCTACAGACTCTCACAAAGAAAATTACTCAGACTAAACCTTCCCTGAGAACAGATTCACTCAAAATCCCAGATACAAATGCCAAAGAGATATTTCTAGAATCTGATGCAGTTTGATGTTCCCATTGTTCTTCTCAAGGTCAGACAAAAAGAGATAAAAATACCTTTTATGCTATTGACCCCAACCGTCATTAACCACAACAAGCAATAAATTAATGCCCAATCTAAAGCAAGTGCTTGGTGAAAAGTCAAATATTAGTCAAATAGAAAACAAATCTATGCAAATGATGGCCTACCACAATGTCCTTTTCTCCCCAACTCATCAGTAAATTTAATTTATCAAGTTAGGCAAAAAAAAATCCAGAAGTTACAGAGACTTACATGAAAAAATATTTATATTGATGCATTGGCTAGTGTGAACATATGCTACTTGGTCTATATTTGATTCCATTACATTTATCTATAGGACCACATTTTATGGAAAAAAATAACAACAATGATACTCCTTTTGGGTACTATTAAAATTTCAAAGAAAAATGTCTAATGTGTTTAATACTCAAATATGTCCACAGTCTAGCTATTTTTTTGGTTGATTTTTCTTCATTTTTGTAGAATATTCTCAGACTGAAAGAAATTCTGTTATATCCTTCTCTCTTAGGAAACCATTCCCTATAACAGAATAGAATAAGATGAGCCCCAAATTTTACCTAATGTCAAAAGCTGCCTGAATGGACTTGACTAGTAAGTAAGAAGCAAGTCCAAACTTAAGAATATTGTTAATTTTCTGCCACTTTCTCGGTAGTTATTGCATCAAAAGTACTTTACCAAATGCAACTGTATTCACTCTCATTGCTTCTATCCTGAAATGGACCAGAAGGTCTAGCCAAAGAAACAGCCTCAGTTACTGGGGGAAAATAACTTAACTTGAGAGTTTTTAAAATAAAACACATGTGAATTCACAGTAATCCAGCCAGGCCCAGGATTCATTTCCTAGGTCAGCTGACAAGGCTAAAATAACATGTGAATTGGGTACGTCTCGTCTACAGATCATGTAGCTTATAGAGAGTAAGTGAAAGAATTATACCTGTGAGTTAACAGTCTTACCAAGATTCACGCAAAATGAATGACTATGACAGAGTGACCTACCATAGAATGTTAGGTAACCAAAGAGGGCAGCAAGCAGGTACATGACTAGCATCCCTGTGATGGAAAGATTTGACACTGTTTGCATCTTCTTCCTGGACCGACTGTAAATAAAAAGAACACTGATTTTAACTTTTTAAACAAATGAAAGTATCACTTTTTAAATAAAAAAAAAACAAAAGAACGTGTGTCTATTGCTAATTATGAAATCACATTTCTAGTCCATAAACATATCTGACATTTCTAGTCCATAAACATATCTGTCCTAAAGAGCTAAGGAGGGTTTGTTTCCATTTATCTTAAATATTTCACTCACTCAACTTTGGAAACAATCGTTTCCCTAGAAAAGGAATAGCCTATTTCATGTCAATAAACAAGTCTGACTCTTGAATAAGTCATGTAATTGACATAAGGATCAAACTGGTTCCTAATGTACAAAGCTTTTGCATTTCACAGTGAAATGAGCTTAATGAGAAAAAGAAAATACTGGAACCAGCAAAGCCCCATTACCAAGGGTCACTAGAAAGCCTGAGATTTTTACCTGGGCAAATTCTGGAAACCATTCTAGAGCATGCCAGCCCAACGGTCAATGAGCCAGCTTCTGGAGTACATGCTCCATGTGATTTTCAAAGTAAATCAAATACATGAAAATGATTGAAAGTGTTCCAAGAAGTTTTATGAGGTAAATTAGAATGTACAGGGAAAGGTATTGCTAACGTCTGGGTGAAAACCCCTGAGAATTGTTATGTGAGGTCCTAACCTAGGGAGAGCAGCTCGAGTGGGCTCCTACCCACCTTACTCCCAACGAGATGTCAACCACCTCAACAGAAAAGGAATATGAACGAACCACAGACTACCCGCTGGAAGAAACAAGGTTCGCTAGCCAGTGTCTCCGTTCAGATAAGACAGTGGAGACCAGATACTGGCACATCCCTTATGGCCGCATGCCTTTTAGATGGAGGCGAGAAGCTGAGCACATGGGTCCTCCATGGCTTAGTAAGGCCACCCTAATTGTAACTGCCGGTCTTCCAGGGTTTTGTCCTTTCCAGTCCAGGTGGTATTGGTTCTTCCCACCCAAATTCACATTCAAATTCCTTACACTGTCAAAATCATTACACCCACTGATTCCTCCTCCACTTCCCGACCCCCTCCCCTGACCCATTATGTCGGAGGGAGAAGAGAAAGGAAGCAGATAAGGTAGCGCAGTGTTTGTGCTGAGTCACACAAAGCTGATTAAAGTACATTACTGCTGAGTGGTTGTGATACAAACTTTCTCTGAAGAGAAAGCTGTACACCATGCTTCCTTGTAAAGCACCTTTGAACATGTGCGCATATTTTCGAAGCGAATTAGGATGCTAAAACGATGGGCGCCTTACTCTTTAAGTTCACTGTAGATGGGAAGGACCTCGGGGTGGCAAACAAAAGCAAATGCTAGGATAGGAATTGCATAGGCCGTCTGTAAAACAAAGACAACACCGCATGTTTAGCATTCCAACACAGACGGCAACCTCAGGCCGTCTCAGTTTATGAAATAAAAACACAGAGGCCACATTACTGAGGTCATGAGAAGCGCAGGTCTCTAACTCACCCGGGAGTTGAATACGAAGTATTTTGGCTGACACTTGTCGTTATGGGCTTCGAACTCTACTCCACTGCCATCGAGAGAGCCCTTGGCCTGGTTCTCATCTGGCCCCGCAGGGTTGCGGTGCGTGTAATCCATCATGAAGTTCACGCCAGTACCGTCGGAGTTGTTGGGCAGTGGTATCACGTGCATTGGAAGTGTGTTGTTGAATGTCAGGTTTCCAACAGTGTGATCCAGAATGGGCAGAGGACAAGGTATCTGAAATTTCTTGTAAATCACCTGGATCCAGTCATTTAAGAAAAAAAAAGTCAAGTTTTTGAGGGAAAATAAAATAAAATAAAGTTTAAAAAATCCGTACATGTGGCCTATGAGTCTGAGGGGAGGGGACTCAGTCGAAGACTGTTTTGAAACTAAGGGGCCTTGGAGATTCCCTCTAGCCCGTGCTGTGAGAAGAAAGCTGGAACTAGGTCGGCAGCACTCCTCACAGGACTGGGGAGGAGTCAGTAGAGTCCATGGCAGGCCTTTCACGCCCTTCTGAGACAGAGCTGGTCATCTCCTCGCTACATTCCAAGTCTTTCATTTCTTCAAGGTAAGGATTAAGTGGGTCATCAAAGTTTCCCTCCTCCTCTGCTTCTTTAGGGAAATGCTTTATACATTTGGCCTCCATGATATTCCAAGAAAATTCTTTCTTTGGGGCAGTGGTGGAATTTCTTTAATTTCACCGTTGTTGCCCTCTCTTTCTGGGCCAAACGTGGAAGAAGAAAGCTCATTCCTGTGAATGTGGGAGAGCCTACCGACGTCTCCTCTGGACCTCTCGTGTCTTCCTTTACCTTTCTACATCCTGGATTACTGTCACGGCCCTGAGTCCAAATAATCACCCAGCATGCATGGAACACACCCTTAGTAATGGCCCTGACATCCTAACCAAACTATTTTTAAATTCATGACCACTCTTTTCTCATTCCAAATTGAAACACAATAAAGTTGCTTGTGATCCAAGAACAGAAACAAGGACACTAATTCAGGCACCAAAAGGATCTCGGGTCACCAAGCTACAAGAACCATGTCAACAAATCACTTACCACACTGACAAAGAACACCATACAGGTAAGAGAAAATCCACTGGTATAACCAAGGTAACCTAGGAGTTAGCAGAAATATTTTGAAAGGTGTACATAACATTTACAAACAGCTTACCTATTAGAATACAAAATAAAAATATTTTTCACTTAGAGAGTGACTTTACCTAAATTTTTGAGAAGAGAAAGCGGAAGAATAATTCCCAAAGACACAAATATGATGAGGTAGTTGCCGTTGAGGTACCATTCCCTAGAAGGGAAAAGAAGGGGAGGGTGTTAGGGCCAGAAAAGATCAAACAGAATGAGTCACTTGATGTCAAAAGGAGATCAGACGTACCCAGAACTTTCTTCAAGTCCCAGGAATGCTCTGATTACTTCAGGTAGCTCATATTTAATGATAAAGAGGTAGCTCGACATTGCTAAAACGGAAAACGCGGCAGCTTAGTGGCATATAAGGCACTGCGGTCACATACAACTTGTAACGAAGTCATGACACTTGGGACATCCGTTCTTCTTGCTAAAATGAACATCTAATCTCCCAAACAGAAAGAGAAGCCACGATGTATTCTGCACTGCTTGCAAGTTCTTTTCAGGAGGACTCATTCAGCCCGCTAGCTTTTACGCGTGGATTGCTGCTAAGGTATCCGTTGATTTTGTACTAAATCCAGCTCCCAGGTTTTCAGGGAAGCTGCAGTTTCAACATTTTAACCTCATTAGTTGTAAGTCATCACGGCCTGCATTAGCTTGCCTGTTTTAGTGTCTGGGGACAATGGTCTGGCAACAAAAGTATGGGCCAAAGAGAGGGCAGAACTGCAAGGCAGAGCCAAGCAGATGCTTTATTACTCTGCCTTCACCCAGGTGGACACAAGTATCTGGTCCTCCATGGTGTCCCTGAGGGGCACACAAAATCTCAGACCACCGATTTTTAAATTGGAATCTTCCTGGATTCATAAAAGAATACAGGAAATGACAGCTTCTCCTCCTATTCATCCATTAAGATTTTTGGTCTTTTCCTCTATATTCTAGTCTGTCCGGCCAAGAAAGAAATTGCACAAAGTGGCAAAGCCTCATGAAGATTTTAGTAAATGATACATAGAATGATCATGACCTGTCCTGAAATGCTAGTGACCTCCACAAACCTTCTCCCAGGAAAAATGAATATGTATGCATACGTTTAACATTACAACTCCGCCTAGAGTTTAAAAATGTTACGCAACCTCCCTTCCCTAGCCCCACCCATTCAGTGAATTATAATTTTAATCTGTTAATGAGGCATGGTAACTAGGCTTAACTAAAAATAAAACTGACAAATTTTACTTGAAAGCTTTAAGTGTGTACGATATCCTTCTGTGCATGTATGCTAACAGGCATTTAAAATAGATTCTTAAAGTTCTTGAGGTATAGTCTAGTGGCAGAGTGTGCCTATTAGGTACAAGGTCATGGGTTCAACCCCCGCACCACAAAAAATAAAACAAATAAAATAAGTAGTTCCCTAAGTTAGAAATTGATCGATTAAGAGTTTTAAAATATTTCCTTAACTTTAAACAAAATAATAGTGATAATAATTCCCTTTATTGTTTAGTTCTGCATATCATTACTTGATCATTTGAAAAGGCCTATCAGATGACAAGATTTATGTTATCTTTAATCCGCAGCTGATTGATATTGGTATGAAATGATTTCTACAATGCCTGATGCATCTTCTGTACACACTGCTTGGTTAATCTTTACAGAGACCTTCACTCAACCTAGATCTTACAGAGGGTAAAGAGGAAATATGTCTGATTAATGGGCTCAGTGAGGTACTATTCAGTTTTAGAACTATGAATTGCTGACTTTCTGTGATGTCACCACTGTTAATGTGTTTGGTTTTTGAAAATTCAGGACGATTCAAACCTGTTTGGGTAATGTCAACATTATTTTGCTAATGCTGAAATATCCACAGTGAATGTTAATTTTTTAGGTGATTGAGAAATTAAGGGTTCTAAATATGGAGTTGCTAAACCAAGAAACAGAAGTGTTTTCTTTCATGCCAAGTATTTGCTAATCATATAAAGTACCCAAACTGAGACATTTTCTGGTTGGTATTATGAAACTGCATCTCACACCCAGAAAGCCACACTTTTTACTCATTCACGGCTGGATGCAAGGGCCGTTTCATTACTATTTTAGAAGAATAACAATGGCTACACTTTCACCCCTCGGTACTGCTGACAGCATGCAGCGTGAATTCAGGGCAAAATATGCCACGTCTGGCTGTTTTAGTTATCAAAACAAGTAAATTTCATCAACTATGAGGTGATCCTGTGAATTTAAGCCTTGGTAAGTCTAAGACTTTGAACTAAGCATAAAGCAATCTGGTGGGATTCAGGAGGTTTAGAGGCTTCTGGGAAAAATTCGGCAACAACCCCAGGGTTACTGCCCAAATCTACCAGACATATAAACATATGAAGACACAGCACTGGACTAGTATGCACAAGACCCTGAGTTTGACCTCCAGCACCTAAATAAATGAATGCGAAATAAACACAAGTTGGGGGCTGGAGCTCAGTGGTAGACTATGTTTAGCATATGTGAGGCCCTGGGTTCACCAAAAAAAAACCTAACACACACCAAAAAAAACCAAACCAAACCAAAATAAAACAAAAAAATCCACAACAACAAAAAAGTCAAACATGACTTCATTTATCTGATAACAAACTATCCACTACCAGCTATGGGGATAGTTGGATAAAGGTTATTAAAGGAATTGCTGCACTCCGGAAATTGTAGATAATTCCATGAGTTTAACAAAGGAGCTGCCTCTTTCCAACATCTCTGTTATTTTTTTATGACAGCGTTATTTGTAATAGTGAAAAAGGAGAAACAACCCAACTTCTCATTAGGAAAGAGTTGGTAAATGAAGTATAGCACATATTTATAACGGAGAACTCAAAAGCCATTAAAAAGAATAGCATACAAATACCTTCAAGGTATACTGTTAAGTTTTTAAAAAGCTACAAGTCCTATTGCAAGGTTATCTAATTTTAACAATATCAATACTTGTTAAATTTGGCATAGAAGGAACCTGGGCAGTGTTTCTGACAATGACTGACGTGGACTTGCCTTGGTCATTTGACCTCTGTAATGTTCTAGTTATTCACAATTAGAATATACTTGCTTTGCAGTTATACGAATGTCCATTTTAAAATAATCAGAGAGTCTCCAGAGACGTGGATAGTGCAGCTGAGAACCAGAGGCTGAACCCTTGCTGCAGGCCATAGGTGGTCTTATTTCCTCCTCACAAGGACCTTGTAAGACTCGTATTTTCATAGGTGGAAAAGTTAGACTCAAAGGAGTAAAATCGCTTTCTCAAAGTCACAGATAACAATGGAAACAGACTCCAAGTCAGGTAGAGCAGACTCCAGAAAGCAGACTCTAACATCTTATTCTTTACTCACAGAGTTTAAAATAACTTTAAAAGAAACAACAACATACATGCAAACAAGGTCAAGGGAGCTCAGAGGAGCCTGAAAGCCTAGAGAGATGGAAAGATGAGAGAGAGACAGAGACAGAGACAGAGAGAGGACACATTTACATGACAATATGTCAGGGTTGGAAGCCTTTAAAAAACATTCAAAGAGAGAAAACAGCACGACTAAGAAAGTGTGGAGGGCTTCTTAAAATATTAAAATGATACTAGCACTGCTGGATGACTGAACAGTTTGCTACAGTCTGACACAGCACCACGCGTGGAAGTGATAGATACAAGACGCGGACACTGGTGGGAGAGGTGGGGAGAGCAGGTCACAAAGACCTTGCGTCGGGATGATACGTTAAATTTTACCTGGAAAATAATGAGGCCAGGCTGAAGAACTCTACGCACGGGAGAAGCAGGAATGGAGGTGAATTTGAGAAAATGTATCTGAAGGATGAACTGGAGGTGGGGAAAAGCTCAAGGTCATGAGGACAATTAGACGACTACTGCAACAGTCTCCTCTAAAAGTGCTGATCATCTACAATGCCGATGGAAGGAGAGGAGAACTCAAGAGATAAGAGATCAAATGAAGAAAATTTGGTATTTGATGGGATGAGGTCCGGGAAAAGCTCAGTTTACTTGTGCGCACGTTTCTAGCTTAAGAATCTGGGTGGCTGCTAGTGGTGGTCACAGGGAGAAGAAAGGACAGAGACCTGGAACAGCAGGTTGGGGCAGAGCAACACAAGAGGAAGACAGTGCTGCTCGTGAAGACTTAGCTGGGATCATGCAGGAGATACAGCCAGCAAGATACCTCAAGTACAGGTCCAGGTGCCTTCCGAGGTCGGAGACGAATGAACCCGTGTGAAGCTGCTGGGCCTCATCTAGAACACTCTCAGAATACATGTATCTAGGCTGTGCTCTGGACATTCTCATTTACCAGGAATCATGAGGGTCCGCAGAACCAAGAACCCTTTGGTTCACATGCTTCTTACGCCCAGCCAGATCCTCGCTTGGCATACCTTCTGGAGACCCTCTCCGTGGAACGCTCTGTGCAGACCCAGCCCTTTGCCATGCCTCCCCATCCCCGTCCCCGTAGTCATTCGCTTTTCCACTGTATTTCGTGGCTCAGTCACACATCTGAAACAGCTGTTCTGACAGTGACAGAAGCAACACTGATGCTTTTATTTCTAAAAGCGATAATTAATGCCATAATAGCATTACAAATCAAGGAAGATTTTATCTTACATTCGACTCAGAGGGTTTTTATACACTATCGCATTCCTAGGTATTGCTATTTTCTTTCAATTAAAGAGTGACAGCAAACCCAAGAAATTTTATTTCTGAAACTCAAAAACAATAAAGCAGTTATTTTCCTGTAAAGTGCTTATTGGTTGCCATGGGGCTTTCCTGTTGATTGACTGTTCTCTAGAGAGTTTACAGGGCCATTGAAAGCTAGATACCCTTACCGCCAATATTTTGCATTGTAATGGAAACGAAAGCTCCAATTTTTCCAGGCCATCCAAACGCCTTCTCCCCTAACTTTTCATAAATTAATGACCCTACAAGGAGAGAGAAAATAATGTTTAGGGAATTGTTTAATGACTAAAATATTTGTATCATATAACTCTACACACAGGTTTCAAACATGTAAATCGTGTTAAAGAGATTATAAACCAAAAAGATGCAACCTCGGTAACCAACAAGCAATAGATTAATACCTACGGGCTGACTCGTTAGAACTGCATATAGCAAGTTAAAACAGTTATTTCTATCATCCCCCTCACATCTCTGTCTTTTTTTCTATTTGGCTTGAACTGGAACGAGTCAGCTTTCACTCCCGCTGTTCATTTGCCCAAATAGCTAAAAACCTCCTGAGGCACACCCTGTTGCCGAGGTTAGAAGAAGATGAAATGTGAAACTGACTAAGATCATCCCCAGGTTACGAAGTGATAGACTGAAATACTCTCGTAGGAGAGTCCAGATAGAATGTCTTGGGCTTCTCAGGTAACCTACCTCCTTCCTTGGCTGTCTTTAGTAAGAGGTGAACTGAATACAGTGACAATATTGCCACAGCAAGCAGCATGATTCTGTAAAGGGAGTAGAGAGTAGAAAATAAAATTTCTATAAGACATAAGACATCATGGTATTAGATGTTACAATAAAGAATCACATCGGCCTCTTCAATCACTAACTTTTTAAAAATGTGTGGATTTGGGGAAAGCTGGGGAACCCTTTCCAGAATGTCAAACCTGCCCTCTGATTCCATATTTCACATGTTTAAACCTGTTACCTGGGGCTCCTAACATTGTTTTAGGGTTACACGGTTGTAGAATCTGTTTATAACTTAGATTTTAAGTGTATGGCAAGATTATCAAACACTACAGCTACTTAACTCAGCCTATGGGTGATCTACGTACCTCACGTGCTCATCAACATTTAAAATCAAAGGCTATTCAAAAACCTGACCAAGCCTCAGGCTAGAATCTTCAAGAACCAAACACGTAGCATCAGTTCCACTTCTACTAATTCTACACCAGAAGGGAAGGTTACTCTGTCCACAGAGGGTCAGACAGCTGCATGTGCAGTAGAGAAAGCAGAAAAAAGCAGTAGGGAAATCCTTTTTTTTATTTTCAGACAGAATAATTTCTGATGTCAGGACTCTGAACATATGTATGTATGGTTTATGTCTACACTAATCAGTATTTCTCCATAAACCATGGATTAGAGCACAGAACCAAGAAGCAGAGTGCAAGACCAGGAATTAGAGCAAAATTAGATTGCAAAACCAGGAATCAGAGTGCAAATAAGATAGAAGCATCTATAAAATAAATGGAAGGACAATACCAAGGTTTATTTGAAATTTTTAAAAAATTTTATTTTGTGTGACGAGCACACACTACACATCTTCCCCATAACTGATCGAATCCTTTGGATATGTCACTACTGTGCAGTCAATACTGTGGATGGAAATTTAGACTATGAATTATATATTTTATAACTACTGTAGCTATTTTGTGCTTTTATTTTCTAGAAAATGTCTGCCAGAACTCTCTGATCAATTATGTATTCATGTATTTTTCTATCTGACTTATAAACTTACCTGTTTTTAAAAAACATGTAACTCAGATTACATAATTTTATTCCTTGGAAAAACAGTAAGTATTCCCTGTGTTCTTCTCTTTTTTGAGGACTCGAACTCAGGGCCTTGTGCTTGCCTGGCAGGCACTGTGCCACTAAGCTACATCCCCGACCCTGCATTCCCTGGATTCTAAACATGTACTTGCTTTGGCAGAAAACACTGAAAGAGAAACCATCAAATACTGTGTTACTTGCTGTGAAGTAAGGGAAATAGCTAAATCAATTCTGCAGTATTTTAACATGCCAAATGCACTCTATTGTGTTTGGTGACTTAATTGCTCTGGCCAAATTAATCTGCTAAATGTTTATAGGCCCGAAATGAGGCTCTTATTTGAAAAGGGGGATATCCTCCCCCCATGAAAATGATCTATAGCTGCAGGATTGGGGAAGAGTTTCCTATTTCTATTCATTAGTGATCTATGTTAACTTCATGATTAATTCTAATATATGTATAATTAATAAGGAGGAGGCTATCTTTTTGTTTAAGAGGCAGTAAACATTGCAGAAACATACAAATATATGAACACATCTGTAGCTAATTGAGATTCAGACCATCAAAAGCTAGTTTATTTCAAACATGACTTATAAAAGTAAAGTTGATAGAAAAGCCATTCAATTAAATAATATTATATATACAAGAGTTCAATCAAAGCACTAATGTGAGAAAACACTTACAGTTGGGATCTTCAGCCCACATAGAGCTGTGTGATTATCTAATCGTACATATTTCACACCATAAATTGCATAATTTATCATCAATGTTGCATTCTTAAGCATTTATTTAACTGTCTAGCATTGTGTTTAGAACCAGAATCTATGCTCGTGTTGCTGCCTAGCATCTGGCTTTATTCTTGTGAAGAATTCACTGCTGCCAACTGTGTCTCAGACAGTATTAGGCTGTGAGTCACGCGCCCAGTTCTCATCCGCAATGATGGACACGATACCCATCTGTGTGTCAGCTACACGAGGCTTCTACTCTTAGGCAGCCTTTGACCAAATTTATTGAAAACATGTAGGTTTAGAATTAAGCTTCAGTCACTCAGTGAATATATCCCGTGCCAAACACAGTGCAAGGCTTTAGGGGTAGACCCGTGTGGTAAAACATGGACAACATTTGCTGGAGCTTATACTCTAGGACAGGAGATAGTCAAAGCATCAGAAAAACGCACCAGAATATGAAAACTGTGGCAAGTGCATGAAAGATTTGCCTCAGTCACAGAAGTCAGCAGAGGCAGCATAAGGAGCTGCACTGTGAAGAGTTAACGAGGTAAAGAAGAAAAGAAAGAGGGTTCCGAGACCATGTGCAAAGCCCAGCAGCAAGAGGGAATCTGGCACCTTCCTGGGGTGGAGAGAAGGCCAGTGTGCCCACTGCATCTCGTTCCCAGGGGGCAGGGGATGGGCCCAGGGCATGCAGGGGCACTCAGGTGTGGTTTGAGATGGGGTGTTTTCCCCGAGTATTTGAAAATCAGACTTGCATGTAGGAAAGGTCTTTTTGATGACCAAATACTGAAATATTTTAAAATCTGTTAAAGAGTGAGGCCCTTTGTGGATCGTTTCTGTGGACCAGCAGGGCCGCTCCAGTGCTTTGGGCGGCTGCACATAAAGTTTCCGCCATTTGGTTAGGGATGGTTATTCCTCGGCTTGCTGTTTCATCTGAAATGAAGATTTGCTAATACATTCTCAAACTCTTCCTGGTCACAGAGTTCACACTCCAGACTGGTCACTGAAGGAGCATCTGGTTATATATACATGCATTTCACCTCCAAACGTAGACAAGTGTGTTTGCTTACATAAAAAGTATGATTCCAGTGTTGGCCATGGCGTAGGATAAGCCCAAGATTCCACTGCCCATGATGGCGTTGCTCAGGTTGAATGAAGACATTCCAAAGGAAGTGGTGCCAGGGTGCTTAAAAAACAGGGACACATTATAAGCAAACACCTGTCAAAAGACCAAGCTTCTCTTGGGTTATTCTTATTCTCACATTATCTCTCTTGAAGAGGGATATAAAACTCTTCCAAAAAGTGAAGGCTACGATAAAAATCACAGCAAGTAAAAGTCATTACTCACCTTCAATAAAAGCATGTATTTTTTCAATGGAATGCAGTGCTTAGTTTTAGCATAGGTCACCATAAACACACACACACACACACACACACACACACACACACACACACAATGCAAGTGGAGGCACACAAACAAGGTCAAACCTGTATGACTGCAGACTACTTTTGGGTTAGAGTGATTTCTCAAAAAAAAAACCAAATAAATTTCATAAATGATTTATGCAGCCATATGGCGAACAGGAAAAACAAGCCCTTATTCCAGTAAGGGCCTGAATAAACAGAGAATGTGCTGATTGAGGCTTGGAAAATTTCAGTCATGCTGTTTTCTCACAGAGACCCAGGTAGAGCAGACACCCGCGGTCCTGTCCGCTGCCCGACATCAGAGATTCACTTACATGTTCATCATCATAATCGGCCAGTTTCTTTTTCCCAAAAAATCCATTTGTCAAGAACTTCTGGCTTTCAGCATCTTCATTAGCAAATTGACTGAACACACACAGAAAAGGAAAATAAGGCATCAAAGCATCTAAATAAATGCTCTAAATTCTGTTTGCTCCAGGTGACCTAAGTAGCTCAGTTAGGGGAGCAAAAACCAAGGTAAGAGAGAGAACACCTAAAATGTTTTTTTTTCCCCTCCTTCTTCACATTAGTGTTCCTTTCAGACAAAAAACTGAGCTCCATTTATAAATAAACTTTGGGAAGGAGGGAGGATGTTATAAAGGAAAGAAATAGTATATTCAGTTGAAACATTGTCTATGCCACATTTCTTTTCCTCTAAAGAAACAATGCAAGGAATAAATTAAACTGGAACTAATTTTGTATAGAAGAGTACAGGCTCATGATTCTGAGTTTTCTAGGTTACTACCGTGCCATCATCAACTTTTATTAATTTAACGAATATTTGTTACATGGCTATGTGAGCCTCATCTCATTTCATGCCCAAAATACCCCTATGAGAGGAACAGTCCCATTCTGTCTCAAAAGATGCAGCAACTATGGCTAGCAGAGTGAAGGAATAAGCCCCCACCTGCCGGACTCCAAGTCCACGGTCTTCCGCATGTGAGACAGTTGCAGGGAGGGGCCTGTACTGGTATCTCCTCTTTTTTGGCCCTGTGTGCTTATACACATATTCCTTAGAGGAAAATAGTTCACTCATAGCTCTGTGTGATGTGTGGTTTGCGTACGAGTGCATGTGTGTGTGAGGATGTGTGTGTGTGTGTTAATTACGCTGCAAATATACATGGGCTCTTAGATACTGTATTAAACTAAGAAAATTATTAAAGAAATCCAGTGAGTTGTTGAAGGACTTGGGGGAGGACAGGACTGTCAAATGTCACTATCCACACAACACTGTGATCACTGTCTTCTTGGGCACAGGCTAGAAGACGACACACTGGTCCTAACGCCGCGCCCTTATCATGTCGTTCAGCTCCTGCAGTTACAGGCGAGGGGCTTCTAGGTTGGGGACTACAGGGCAGTCACATTTCCAAAAGGCTTGACAAATGAGGCCAACCAACAGCACTGCACCTTTGCCCACCAAAATACCACACAGCCTTTTTGACGCTATTATAGAAAATGCTCAACTACGGATGTTTCTTCAAAGTGCTTTGTAATTAGATTAATCACGATTTTTAGGATATTTTTTGCATTAAAGAGTAAGATAACATAAAGAGCATCCTTTAGAATAAAATAGCCATGAGAAATACAGTGAAAAGAACTATTAAAGAAAATCTGCCCAAGTGATCTTCATAATAGGAGCTAGTCCTAAAATAGCTGGAGAGGAACAGGGACAGCAGGGTTAGTTTTTGAGATCAGACAGCAATACGGGGCATAAATAGAAAGAGCAGGTGGAAGCTCAGAGTTTGATGTGCTTTTCTAGAACTTGCGGGGTAGACAGCTCTGCGTGTGCAAGCATGTTTCCTAGCATTCTGCCCTGCTTCTCAGAGGAAACTCAGTGCCCTCCCTTACTGACTTCTTCCACTTCCACCCTCCCCCTGCACACACTTTTTGTGATTCTCTTTAGCAGTCTGTGGTTGATGCACTTGCTACATGAGGACTAGTACCTAACGTTCATGGCTGGAAACTGAGACGATTGGGTAGAATGGGACTAAGGATGATAAACACAGACGCGTAACTTGGAAGAGGAATTTACACTCAGGAAGGGCCAACATTCTACTTTTCACTGCACTCAATAAACTAAAACTTCACTCAAGTGGTTTTTAAAATTTAGAATTTGAAAGTAAACAGATTATCTTTTTTGTGAGGCATTTGCATGCTCTTATTTTGGCATAAGAGAGTTACAGCCCTAATTCATGCCAAGATTGTATAAAATACATGAGAAATACCCTCAGTGTGTTAAATATTTTGATACTAAACCCAGAATGTATTGAAAATATAACTAAAATGATCCCAAATAAATACAGTATGTTGAATTGCTCAAAAAATTTACATTTTAGGTTCATTCCAAACCAAACATAAATAAAAACCATCTCTTAAAAGTGATGATAAAATTGCAAAATGATGATTTGTGTCTCAGCCAGGAGTTTAAAGGCAAATCATCCTGAGTGGTCCAGGTTGTATAAAGCTCTTCTGTGGCAGCTTTTGTAGGGCTAAATGGAATAGCTCTAGGACTATTCCTGAGGCAGTGTCCCACTCAGCTCAGCCAGCCTCTGCAGAGCTCAAATTTGTATGCGTTTCTTTCAAAATCAAAAGATCCCATGGACTTGGGTCAATTTACTAAAGGTGATGATAAGGGGAAGAAAGAGAAAGAATTTACTGACTATCTTCTGTGTTTCACATGCTTATTTATTCCTCAGAAAAGTAGCTGTTGCTTTGCCATTTTACATTTTACACCGAAGCTCAGAGAAGATAAACGTTTTCCAAAGTCAAGCAACTACTCTGCAGACGTCAGCGCCCTTTGTTCTACCGCATTCTTTTCTTGAAAGTCACCCAGTAGAGAAACTGCTGTGAGTTACATGTCACTGTCCTCACCAACCTTCAGGTTCACCACACAGAACTACTTGACAGAAAAAGTGCTTCCTCCTCATGGCCCTTTCTAGATGTGAATGGAAAGAGAAGTCCTTTATTGACGATAATATTCTTTGTATTGTATTGTTTTCGTCTTTGTTGTTGTTATTTTGTTATTTTTTTCTCTTTAAAATAAAAAGGAAGATAATATTCTGTACTTTGGGCCTAGTTTTGGTCAAAAATTCCTTTCTGAGCATCTCTAATTGTGCACAACTTGTACTTACAATGTTTCGTGGGAAAATAAATTACTTATATAACTATGGTGCATGTGCTATGCACAAGGAAAATATGAGGTGTGATATGTGGTGGGAGGCAGAGGTCATTGACCCATGGGACCTGTGCAATTACCTCCTGGGTAGCCAGAGGGAGCACAAAAGAGCGGTGGTCATTTCCACCTGGGGAAGTAGAGGCATCTGGAGAAGCCTTCCTAGGAGACTTGACATTGAGCTGATTCTTAAAAAGAGGAGAAGCACTGAGACAGACAAAGCCGGAAACAATGGCTGACTCCTGGTGGGCGGAGCATAAGAGTGAAGGCAAGGGGGTGTAACTAGGAGCAGCGTGAGAGACAGGGCCAGAAGGTTCCTATATGACAGCAGTGCCTAGTATAATATGTACATAACAGCTAATGCGGAGTCAGGGAAAGATTTTGTTCAAGGATGGGACACGATTTAATTCGCAAGGATAAAAGATTAGTCTTGCAAGAGTGCAGGATTAGAGAGAAGAGAGCAAATGTACGAGAGGTAGACAAACCAGGGCTCAGACAAGTGAGGGAGGACAGAGATCTAACAGAAGATGGCAGTGGGATGGATAAGGAGAAGTGGATTTGAAATATTAACAAGGTAGAGCCAAAGGGATACAGGCAACCCTTGGCTGTGCGGGTTGGGCGAAAGGATGGGTATTTTAATTGTGCTGCTGAGTGACACCGACCCTTTTTACTGGGATGGAGACACTAGATAAAGGAGCGGGTGTGAAAAGAATGGTAGGGACTCAGTGTCAGACAACGCAAGTTTGACTTGAGAAATTAGGCAATTCAGACACCCGAGTTGTCCAGGGGAGATGTGTACCGGAAGTTTGTATATAATGATCTGAGAGTGAGCAGGGAGGAAATTTTACAGGCAGAGGACGTGGCGGATCAATGGTGACGCCGGGAGAGTTAGGAATTAGCTTGCTCAGAGGATGCTTGTACACTGAAGAGAATCACTATAGAACCCTGGAGATGTGGCAATATCGAAAGAGCAGGAGGAGGAACCTGAGAAAGAGTAAATCAAAAGGCAAGAGGAGTGACGAGCTGATATGACCGGAGTAGCTACACCGCAATGACCCAGTGGCACTGTCCTCTCAGTTTTGGAGCAGTCACACGAAAGTCTGACATTATGACCGTACTTCAGGACAGGGAATTGATGTGCTAACATCAATGTCACTGTTATCTCGAACTTATCTGTTAAAAACCAACAAGACCCTTGTTTTCCATGTCCATAAGCTTGTCTCGTTTTTCTGAGGAACCTGGTAATTTTTAACCCCGTACCTGCTCATGGCCACCTTCTCTGCGTTTCCCATCCCCGTGTAGCTATCTTGAGTACTTCCTCCACTGCTGGTGTCATCATCAGGTTCGGTGTTGACATTTCTCAGTTCCATGGGGTCCATTTGAGCCGTCAGCGCTTTCCTGTCCACACTCCTTCAGTGTAAACAATATACTGCGCCCTTGGCTGAAGGCTCTCCCACTTTGTGGTGATGTTCAGAACGTTCTGTTCTGCAAAGAGAACACAAATAAATCATTATAATTTTCTTTAAATTGGGTAAATAAATAATAATCACCTACTCTGTGTACGCTCTCTGCAAATTGCAAAAAGGAAAAAAACTCCTAAAAATTTTATGTAAATATGTCATGAATGTTTCCTTTACCCAAAATAAAAAATAAAACATAGAAGAGAAGATGAAAAATTAACAGTCATTGCTAACCCAGTAGGTATTTTATAAAGGGCTTAGGCATAATGGGCACGGCAGGTGCTTTGCTAGTTGCTGTGGGAGGAAGAAAGTCATCATGAAGATTTTGGTATTTGTAAGCAGACTGCACAGCTTAAAAGGAAGGAAGACAAATGTAAACTGTTGACAGAAGATCTGCGAAGTATCTCTAGCAGCAATACCTCAAAAGAAAATTACTGTCTTCATTTAATTGTGCATAGAAGAATTAAAACCAGCAAAATGTTTGATAAATGCAACCCAGGGTAGAATCAAAGATTAGGAAGCCATTTGCTAAGTTCTGAGATCCAGAAGCCAAAGTTAATAATAAAAGGAAGCAGAGATCTACCTCTGAATCTGCATCTGTCTCTACTGATATCAAATTGAAATGTATTTGCATGACAGAGAGACCCAATTTTTAGGCTCTGCTTTAATTCACTGAATCTCAGCACACATCTTCTAACTTTGTTAGACCTCACTTACCTCAACTATACAGTGAAAAGATGTGGACTAGCTCCACGTTTCTTTTAAAAAATGTCATGAATCTACCATAAGTTGTTGACCTACTTTCTTCTGCAATTTTTAGTTTTATAATCATTCAATTACTGCTGAGCAAAAATATTGTGAGAAACATGATCACTCTCGAAAGGAGTGGTTCTGAAATACGCAGTACCCATTTGATAAGAAAATCCTAAGCAGAGAAACTATCATAAAAAAATTACTCCAGAACTCACAAACTCCCCTGACAAACAGAACGACTACATGAGAATGTCCGTAGTGCACAATGCCATGGCAATGCCTTGGTGGAATCCAGTTCACTCTTGGGATGAGCTCACAACCCCAAATTACAAAACACACTAGGAATTCACCAGTATGGATGTTAGTAGGAAGAAAATGATAGTCACAAGTAATGAAGCGATTCAAAAAGGACTTTCAAATTAGTGTAGCAAAAAGTAATAAAATAGCATCCCTAGAATAAGTACACTGTAAAAGAAGAAAGTTTATTTTGTAAAAGAGCTGAAAGAGGGAGCTGGGGATTTAGCTCAGTGGCACAATCAATAGATATCAATAGAGACTGGGGCAGCGCAAGAGACTGATGCTTGCCTGCCTGGCAAGCATGAGGTCGTGAGTTCAATTCCAGGGACCGGGAAAACAAAACAAAACAAAACAAAAAAGAGCTGAAAGAGTAATACTTAAAAAATAGTTGTTGAAACAAAGAAAAATCAGCTAATGGAAGAGTTATGAAACTAAAGTGCTTATGGAAATCAGTCAAGTTATAGCACAAAGGTAAAGAAGATGTGAAGACATAAACAGATACGGGGAAAAGGATACGAAGCACAAACATAGTCCAATGGCCATTTTAACATGACAGGCTTATGAGGGTAGAGAGAAAATAAAAAACGATAATGGCGAAGAATTTCCCAGAACTGAAAAAAAGACAGTTCTCAGAATTGGAAAAAAAATATGGATTTCACGCAGAGGAATAAAATGAATCTATTCATTAACAGTATGTACTCTAAAGTCTATTAAATGTAACACAAAAGTCAAGAGAAACTTAAAAGCTACCGGAAAGTAAAAGACATATATGCAGTTAAAAGGAAAAAATAAAAACTTCTATGTTTACAAAGTTTTCCTCATCTCTCACGTTTCCCGTGTCTGTTTCCAGTAGCAACTACTAACCACAGTTTCACTTTTAATTCTTCATTTAAAGTTAGTCATTTTCAATTTAAAAAATTCACTAAACCCTCTCTGCCCTATTTATCCACTCTAGGCTGGGAGCTATGAAAGATGAGAGAATCATCATGTATCTTTCTAGCCTACCTTCCCCACTCCTAATTATTTTAATGAATTATGTTTATAGGTGGAGAATCAGAACATTTCATCCTGTCATGTAAAACAGTTAAATCTGTCATCATTTGTCTACTGATTGCTTCTAAATACAGATAACCTGTTACCAGCACTGGCATTACCAGTATGTAAATCGCTTCCTCCGAAGAACCAAGTGGTGTGTTTGACTAGGTAATAAATGAATATAATCCGGTATTACCAAAAATTTAAAAGCAAAGTTTGCATGCTCTTTTTCTTCCTGAATGGTTTCCTCCTCCAATCTCTGGATCTTGTTCAGCTGCCAGTGTTTCTTGAATGTACCTGCGTCTTTCTTCTCCAATTCATTTTGCATTGTGCAGAAATACCACGTGGACTCACCCTTTCACGTGTCTGTGTTTATTAGCGGGATTTTCAAGTTGTTTCATGTAGAAATGTCTTTATTCTGCCTGTGAATGTCATCGACTGTTTGAATTCTAGATTCAGAATCACTCCCCTTTAGGATGTTGAGAAAATTCTTCTCTCTTAACTTCTAGCTTGTTCTGATGAGTCTGGTTCTCATTTCTTGTAGATGACATATTATTTTCTGAAGGGTTTTAGGATTTTATTTCTTGTCTTAAAATTCGTCATAATTCAACTGGATGTAAGTAGCTTTAAAAATTCACCTTATTCAACATAGGGAGGGTTTATGCAATCAGAAGCCTCTGTTTTTCTTCAGATCAGAAAAATGTTTATTGTTTTTAAAAGTTATTTCTCTTTGATAACTTATTCTAAAACTCTTATTAGTCAGCTATTAGACCTCTTGATCTATTTGTTAAACTTTTCTTGTTATGTATAGTCCCTCACTTATGGTTCAACTTACAGTCATTTTGAGTGTATAATGATGCAAAATTGATATACATTTGAATTTTAATCTTTTCCAAAACTAGTGACAGGTACTCTCTTAAGATACCATGCAATGGTAGTGAACCGTAGTTCACAGTCACCCACACAGTCATGAGGGTAAGCAACACTACTCCCCAGGGTACTGCATTTATAAGTTACGTTGTTTCGTAGATGTTACGGTTTACATCTTGAATTATCACCCAAAGACCACTGGGTTGAAGACCTGATCCTTTGTCCAGGGTGCCGGTGAGAGGCGGTGAACCCTACTGGAAGGAAGTTAAGTTCCTGGGGTCAGACACACTTGAAAGGGATATTGGGACTCTAGACACTCTTATCTTTCCTTTTGCTCCATGGCCAGCATGAGGTGAAAAGGCCCTGTGCTACTGCCATCATGTACAATGCTATCACAGGTCCAAAGCACCAGGGCCAAGTCACTGTGGTCTGAAACCTCTGAAAGTGTGAGAAAAATTAACCTTTCCTCCAAATTGACTCTCTCAGGTGTTTTGTCACAGTAAGGGAAAGCTGGCTAGCACAGCAGATGAGGGGTATTAAATGAATCTTCAACTTAATGATATTTTTAAAAATGAGTCTACCAGAGTGTAACTCCATCACAAATTCAGGAGTATCTTTATTTTTTTAATCTCTGTATCTTCTTGACCCATATTCAGGGATAATTCCTCCATGTTACATCCAAAATAGCAAATTTATCTTCCATTTTACTTTTTACCCTAACTAACCAATAAATGATTATTCTCCATCATGTTTCTGATTTCTACTAATTGTTTGCTGTTATGGCAGCACAGGTGAAGTGGCTGGCCCCTTCTGCATTGGTGTACGTACTACCAAGAACCAAAGCCTGGATAAAGAGTAGAAACTCTGGCTTGGAGGACAAACAACAAGATGCAAATCCTGGCCAGATGACCTAACTTCTGATTTTCCATCTGCTACCAAAGGAGGGTAAATATCATTCACCACAAAAGTAGTACTGTCAGGGCTCAGACAAAATTGTGCCTGCCACGTGTTGGCCATCAATACATCTGACGCTTTTTTCCTTCTCCCGTCATCAGAACGGTTTTGATGTCTTTATCTGTAACAGGCATACTCAGTATGTCATATTCTTAGTTTACCTTGGACACTTCTAAAAGAGGGCTTTATAGTCCTCAAAACCCTCACAAACATCGTAAACAAGGCGGGTTCCCCTTCACAAATACTGAAATAAAGACCCGCTTTTATGCTGTTTTTACCTCATAAAAAGCATTCATGCCATTCCCTTCTGAAGTGGTAATTCCTGGGAAGTCGCACTTTGAGATCTCAGCCACTCATCCTAATTTTGGCACTGCCTAAAGCAGATCTCAAAAAAGTTGAAACACATTTTCCCGGTTCATATCTTCAGCTGTGACTATTCCATTACTAATCTACTTTGAGGGCATAGTGGCCAAAAACACAATTTCCAAAGCACTAGAACCTTACGAGAAATGAAACAGCCAAAATCAGTTGCCTGAAGGAGAAAGCACACAACTTGCACCACTGAAACTGCATCCTAATTGCTAAGATGTAATCGCTGGTTACTTACGTGAGTATGAGCCACTATGGAAGTATTTTAGAGGTGGTACTATTTTATTCATTCAATAAATATTGCGAATGAAACATGAGCCAGGAATTACAAAAGTCACAAAAAATGAGGAGGACAGAATCCTTGCACCCGGGGATCTCATCCTGGGACTGCAGACCGGCTCTGACACAAGCTGTGACAGTACATTAACGTCTCTGCTTTTTCTCTGGATAAGCACTTACTGAACTAATCCATGATTCACTGCACGAGTAGGGGAAGAAAGAATGATACTGGCAAACTCTGAGATTGAAAATACAGTTTCCACAGGCAGGACTCTCCGCACAGCCTTGTCTCCTACGCGGCACCTCCTGCACCCAACAGCTCCTTGGAGGAATCCGGCCATCAGCCTTGCCCTCTCTCGTTCCCTGTCCTGTCCTCTCCCCCTACTCAGGCCCGGCCTATTTTCTTTCAACACTTACTTAGAATTCAGTAATGTCTGTCTCCCTGACCGCTGTCATTTCAAATTACTA